TTAGGTAAGTGATTATATATCAATTTTCTTAGGAAAAAAGTTTCCCAGGATTTTTGGGCTAGAAAGTGGGGTACTCAATTGTCTTTTGCTATTGTATTTTTATAATCAATTATTTTGTAATCAATTATATACCCATTGTAATCTCACATATGAACTTTGACAGAGTAGGGAAGTTGACTCTAGGAATTCAAATTATGGTGAAGTTATAAGAGATGGTTAGTGCCATCATGTGGAATCAAATAGGTGTCAGAAAAGAAAGTCAGTTGCGGGGGTTCATTGATTAGTACACCTTCGATGCTGGTAAAGTTGGGACTATGCTCGTCCGTCTCATGAAGGAAGTGACTAAGGAGATTTCCAAAGCAAAGGAAATGAAAAGGCCACGGTACTCATATTTGGTTGCTAAGTTCCTCTCCAATGGATAAAATGGATTGACCAACCCACCTATTAAATATCCTACATCTAAGAAGGTATTATTTGGTGTAAAGAGACTTTCAGGCAAAACATGGGCTAGACTCAATTCTTCCATTTAAGTGGTTCTTGCTTCTCCTTATTCCTTTTCCTAACTCCTTGTTCCCAATGTTTGGTACTATCAAGTTACAACCTAAGATCTATGACCATATTATGTTAATTGTTCCTATTTCATTCATTCCATCGGTATGCTTCCAAGCATCTATAATTGTGATTTGTTTGCCAAAACCAAGGGGTCTTTTGTGGAAACCTTCACAAATAATCATCAATTTTTAATGGTTTTTTGGCTTCTCACAGCTGCTCTTTCCACACCCCTAGATATCTGGTGCCAAACCGTCGCTTGTTTCCTTATTTGATAGAGTTGACTATCTTTGTGGCATTGATTGTACAAGTTCGATTTTTCGTTGAAGGGTTCAACTATCAAGGCAGCCATTATGAGCGATATTCACTTTCAAGATTCATGAGCTTGGGACAAGACAATGTGAATTATAAAAGTGTTGTCTAAGGAATTGTCAACAGCTCCCGTTCCTTTTGAGGTCCTACCGGGATAAGTAGACCCAAGCCTTTCCCTCCCAACCAATCACTAGGATTAGATGTGTTTATATTAGATCTAATCTAATTGATTTAACTTAAATTAATCTAATTTAATAAAAAAACCAAATTAAATCGATATAAAATTGAGTTAGTTTAGATTATAAAATTTTAAAATCGATATAATTAGTTTAGTTTGTGGTTTTACTTTTGAATCGTTCAAATCGTTCGATTACAAAATAAAATCTAATAACAGAATAACTTAATTAAATAATATGATATTTTTTTGTAATATTCTAAATTTTTTTCTTATTTTATAAGATGATAACATCATTAACTTAATTAAAAAATAAAAATAGACTATTCTCATATTCTTTAATTTATTTTCCTTTTTAAGTTGTATACTCTAACCCTAATTATAAATTTTCAATTTACTTACAACTTTATCTCCTAGAACTAGTCCATGACTTTACTTTTAGAACTCTAAATTTTTAATTTGTTCTTAAAATAATATTTTGATTCTCTTAACTAAACTTTAAGAAGTACAATTCTAGAAGTCGTAGAACTATATAACAGAACCAATTTTGATATTCTACTATTCTTAAATGTTAGTTGAGAAGTTTTAAATTTTAATTATAAATGCTTCTAATCATTCCTAATGATATTCATATTAAATTTTATTTGTTTTTAACAGGGTTTGGAAGATGAGATTGAATCATTTGGTGCATTAAAAAAAAAAACTAGTTTTAACATTTACAAATTACTTGCACTGTATTTAAAATTTAGAGTCATCTTTTGTTATCCTTAGTATCTTTGGTGATATAACCAAGAAAAATATTTAGATCTTTTCAATTTTTACAATTATAAATGAGTATAACAACTTGTTTATAATTTGTGCATTTTATTATGTTTCTGATGATTTGGATATTAATGTATTTTATAGTTATGTTTTTTACTTAATATTAAATTTTTTTATATTATCTTATATATTTAATAGTGTAAAAACCAATCAATCCAATTGAACTACACCGATCTTATTTAAATTGGATTGGTTTGGTTATAATATAATAGTGGATTGCATTAGTTTAAAAATTTTACTAATAGATTAAATTAGATTTATTTAAAAAATATTAAAATCTAAATCAAATTATACCACAAACACACCTACCTAGGATTAATCGAGGTATAATATAATTAGTTGTAATGGATAGGGAAAGTGATTATATATATGTCGACTTTCTTGAGAAACTTTTTTTCCAGGATTTTTTGACTAGAAAGTGGGGTACTCAATTATCTATTGGCATTAAGCGATTATATTTTTGTAATCAATTATATACCGAATGTAATCAATTATATACCGAATGTAATCACTTACATTTCCATTATAATGAATTGCACTGCACTTCGATTTTCATGCTAGAAAATTTAATTTCTTGGGCCAAGCCAAGTTGATAAGTTCCTCCCAACCAAATAGCCACCTAAGTTTCCCTTGTTTATCAACCCAAATGACTTGTAAGGTGCACTAGGCAATCTTCCTAGGTTCAATCACCCATCCCAACGCAACTACTTGAGTCAAAAATCTATCATTGGCTTAAAAACTCTTTGGATTAAGGGCTTGTGGTGGTTGCTCTTATAATAACTAAAATGACTTGAGTCAAAATTTATAATTGGCTTAACAGCTCTTCAAATCAAGACTTAGCAGTTTTTAAAAACTTAAACTTAAATTATTAGTAATGATTGGTATTCAAACTTATATATTCATAATTGTACTCTTCTTCCAATGTTCAATTGGGTTGTTACACCAAACAAGATATTAACCGTTAAAAAAAGGATAAACAAAAATTTTGTTTCTAGAGATATCTCTTACGAGAATACATATAATTTTTTTGAAAAAAGCAGACCCATGAGTAGGGTTGTGGTTGCGGCTACTAATCATAATGTTAAGCTACTAAAATTTGAAAAATATTGTCTTTAAAAATATAAATTTTGTTTGATTTAATTGATAAAAATGACTAATAATTGTAATTATTAACTAATAACTAATAAAATATTAATATTTATTAATTAACAAATTAAAATCAGTTAATAAATTAATATTTTTAAATATTATTAAAAAATTAAAAAATTAGTGAAATTAACATTTTATACGGTGACAATAACCCGATCACGAGTAGTGGTACACTACTTCCAACCCATTTTAGTTGTGATTAATTTTAAGTTTTTACACACAAGTTAGGCAATGTTTTTATATTTTTAAATCGATAAAGAAATGTTTTTATATAGCAGATAAATGCATGACAAACGAAAATTTTTTTGTTAAGTAATTTTCGTTAGGTAGTATCATTTAATAAAATAAAATTTTTTTTCTATTAACTTTCCTGTATCTGATAACTACATTGAGTCTCGACTAATTCAAAATTGAGTCCCGTCAAACTTTATTAAGGAAGAAGCTCTTCCAGCACTTATTTTTTCATTCACAATATTCGAATTCGAAATCTTACTTAAGAAAAACCGAACTCCTTTCACAAAAAAACTCGTTGGTAAAATAAACTTTTCTATTACTATAGTTCATATGCTTTACAAATGCATTAACTAAAGTTGCATGAGCTATAATTAAAACGGACTGGAGGTACGAAGTGACGTGGAGCCTCTATATTTTAATGAAATTCATTAATAAAGAATAATATAGTTATAACTTCATATATTATTATAAATTTATATATAATATGTTATCATGTAATTGATTATTTCATTTAAAAATCTACTCATAATATTATATATTCGTATTTTTTTTAGAAAAATGATTGATATATATTCGGTTCAACACATTATCTAA